GGGTTAGTCAGCAGCTTTACACACGTGAAGCACAGTGTTGCGTAATTTTTCATGTTTCTCAAAGATGATTACTCTCTGTAAATGATATTAACAACGTTAATTGTCACAACTTTTTCTGATCAAATCAAGAATATTGACGGTGAAACAACGAAACCACGTATCTCGTTTGCAGTGTCTGAAAATCTCCGCTCTCATTTAATTTTTTTGAAGGAGAACAATTTAGTATCATTCCTTGAAGTTTTCACAGAAAGTTCCTCGGCGTGAGAAGAAAAATCACGGAAGTTTTCAAGAATTGACGTCGAGTAGTTACCCATTTAAAAACACAGGACAGGTTTTTTTTTATGACAGGAAGTCTGCAACGTCGCAAACCGAGATACGTGGTCTGGCAGTCTCACCGTCGATATAATTAGGTATACTATGGGGTTACGCCCCCTGACCGCTACGCGGTCCAACCCCCTGAAGGCGCTCCGCGCCATCAATGGGCCGCTTTGCGGCTCTATTTTTATAGCCTCCTGTTAATGTTGGTTTTATTTTTCCCCTAAAAAATTACGATATGAGGTATACTTTACTTTCAGAATGAAATGATTTTTGTTTTTGATGAATAAAGAAAAAGAATTGAAGTAAAAAAGACGCGTTTTGCAATAACTGATTATCGAAACATTGCAGTAAAACAACGATTGACGATACTCAGATCATGATTAAAGCAGCCCAAGAGTCGGAATCGAACCCACATCTTGAGGCACATGGGCATTTCCGACGTCTAAGACGACCACCGCACATGTTGAAACGGTCAGGGCGAATCTTTGTGTTGATAAGTAGAGCTGATATGCAACCTGCTCGGTCTGCGCAACCTTCTGCGCATAGCGGCAGCAGGAGCGGAGCGTTCTGTAAATTCGCTCACTTTTATAACTTGATTGTAAAAAAACCTGGGTCCTATTTCCAAAATCTGATTAAAGCGGGCTCATCTGGGGCGCTATCACCTGTCAATAGCCGCAAAAATCATGGAAATCGGTCCGGTAGAACGCTCAAACGAACTATGACAAAAAACATAAATTTACATTGTTTAAGTGGGAAAATTCGCAACTTTACCACGTAATATAAAAAAAACCTGGATCATATTTTGAAAATCTTAATACTTAAAGCGGGCTCATCTAGAGACAATTGCCCGTCGATAGCCGCACAAATCATGAAAATCGGCCCGGTAGAACGCTGGAACTAAGCGTTACCAGTTACGCAAAATTAGGAGGTCTCGAAGAAGAAGATTATTGAGTTAAATTTCCCATTTTTTTTTCTGCATGCCTTTGAAATATAAAAGCCATAAGCGCTCCAGATTTTACTAAACGCTTAACTTAACTTATTCATAATTTTTTGGCGGGTGGGGGAGGGGGCACGTCGCATGGCAAGAGGGTGAGGGGGGGGGTGTCAAGAAAAGTGAGGAAAGAGGGTTACATATTACAAGTGCGCTCTCTTGCAACCCGTGACGTATGCATGTAATACCTAGGCAAAGTGTCGCAGAAAATCTCGGATAAAAGAACACGAACCCTTATGAAATTACCTGGATCCTTGCATAGTATTTCCAATATTAAACAGCGAGTTCAAGTTAATTATCATCATCATCATCATCATCATCAGCGACACTAAGTGTGTCAGAAATGAGGGAAATCAATTCTGTAATAGGCCAGACCATTACTTTTACAATGAGGGAGGTGTCTTGAACCAGATCCTCCATCGAATACATTGACAAGTGTGAGTCGAGTCGCGATTTCTTCAGGTTATTCTCGTTGTCATCTTTTTCATTCACTCTTTCCTTCGGTTTTGTTAAAATTTCTTTGCTATCTGCCAAAAGATTTTCCAAAATATACCTGTCAGAAAGGTAAGGCGAGTGTTCCCCATCCGTTTGCAGCAGATGTTCTTGAATCGCATTTTGGTTTCTTCTTAATCCTGAAGCCAAGTTGAGATGGTCATCCTGTGGTGAATTAGGCTCAAGTGCATTTCTATGATACTGCGATTGGACAAGCTCATTACTGATTTTGGACTTACATCCCGAGGGAAACGCCGCACTGAAAGCCTTGAGGAAAATACATAGCAGTGATAAATAGCGATTTTATCGGTTGGTTATCGCGATTATATCGGTGGCAATATATCGAAATATTATCGCATTAAAAATTGCGGTAAATAGCGATTAAATCGCTACAAATCGCAATTTTTGGTTCGATAAAATCATGATCAATTTTTGTCGATAAAATCGAAATTAAATCGCCATTTATCGCGATCTTTATTTAGAAAATATCGCGATAAATTGTCGGGCGACAAAAGCGCGATTTTATCTCGATAAGATCGAGGATAATCGCTCAGATGTTGATGATCCTGGCGATTTTATCGCCGATAAAATCGCAATATACCTATAGCGATTTTTCCGTTGAGGAATGCTACTTGAGTAAAAAGAGCCCGAAGACTCGATCAATTTGAAAATGCGTGATAGACTTAGAGTGCTTTGAAAGTGCGTTTCAAAATAAAATATACCTAGACAAGTATGATGCGCACAACGTGATTTTCGTACGATTTTACCCGCACAAAGTATACGCTGTTGACTGCATCTGGCATATAATATCTTCTTATGTGCGCAAAAAGAGCCGCTTAGAAGCTCCTACAATTGTGTGCGATAACTATTCGAACTCCGCCGTCGTGGGGTTGCATACGCGCCTCATTGAAGGCAATTTTAGCGCCGAGAACACTCTCTTTTCAGCTCCTTAAAACCTTTCACCCTCCTAATCCTAATCCACAGAGGATTAACTTCGTAGCCTTCTGTCTCTGTCCGAAAAATGTGTATGTTGGGATTTTGTTTTTTCTTTAACGATCGTTTTCAACCCATTTAGTCTATGATTCCTGAAAGTTGTCTTCTAGCATACTTAATAAAAATCTCCATTTGAGCCTTCTTCATCATAATGTAGCAAGATGCTGAAAAAAATCGCACGATGCTATGATGTTTCGCGGAAAAAATTTTCTATAAATATGGCTGGAAAAACACTACAAAATTAATTATTTTCACTTCATCACCGACAAAACTTTAGTTTTTAAAGCATGATATTTTCAACTCTTTCGGCGATGTTTCACAAATGTTACTATAGACGCCACCCGTTCCTCGACAAAACTGCGATTTATGGTTTAAGAATAACATTGCTTCAGTATTGCCTGTCAGCAATATAAGTAAATGTTATCCCTTCACCACACGAGAAGATATCTGAGAAAATTACTGATGCTACAGTATACTGTCATTGACGTAATCTCAAAAAATGCCCTCTCACTAAAGGGGGGAAAAATGGCAATATATCAAGGGGAAACTTTAAAAGATTTCCTTTGCTCTGATTTTCCTCTAACCTTTGCCCTCGCTATGGCTCCTTATTGCAAAATGCAGTTAAGTTTTATCTCAGTCAAGGACACATATGTACTCGAGGCATAACAGATTCAAGTTTGAATCTCTATATCTTTACCTTTTCTTTCGAGATTGAAATAAAGTGACTTGCAGATTGTACGCATTTGTAAAAGAATTGCCCAAGCATTGAATGATGGAAGGGGGGGGGGGTGTTGTTATAAAAAGGATACGGGACTTGATGAATTACATGGATATAGTCTGGGTAAAAAGTAAAACTTGAACACTTACTTGCAAGTTCAAGATAGTGAAAGCCTCTAGTAAATTATTGAATTTCATCACTGAAGTTTACCGTGGTCGAGCAGTTGAAGGAGAAAAACTCGGAACTTTTAAGAACAAACTGTATTAGACCGATTTTAATTTGGTTCTTTGATTTTTTTGTACGTTTAAAACTTGTGCTACCACTTACAGAGCCGCATAGGGCACCTACGAGTAGTGATAAAAAAAGAAAAAACAAATCTGGAAGTAAACGGGAAAGAAACTATAAGTCAAGTTCATTTGAATGAAACTCGACCCCTACGGTGAAATTTTAATACTTGATTTGCTGTGTCAAAGTAATTCGTTTTTGAACCTAAAAGCTCTAATTTTTATTTTTTATACACTTGATTTCAAGCAACTTAGGTATTTAGTTATTACATGCGATGTATACCAACCAGCTAAGACTATGACCACTCACATTAATGTTGAGCAGTCAGTATAGATATGTACATATTTATCAATTTATATTCTTTTCTCACTCTATGATTCTGGTAATCTGATAAGTAAGTAACATTTTATCTGATTCAAGCGTAAGCTGCGTGATTAGGTCGACTCAATACTCATTCGGACTGTATTGCCCGAGAACGAACCTCTATTATGACTTGTGTTAGAAGCAACGAGTATGCTATTGGTTTTCTTTGCAGATAACTCAAGTAGCATTTCTCAACAATGCGTGAAGTATTCCTACACTCTTGTAGGCGCTATGCCTTTCACGGCGACCGCTGCTGAAGCTGAACGCACTGTGTTTGACGCAATGCGTGAAGTATTCATGCAGTCTTGTAGGCACTATGCGTTACACGGCGACCGCTGCTGACCGCACTGTGTTTGACGCTATGCGTGAAGTATTCATGCGGTCTTGTAGGCGCTAATATGTGTTACATGCCGACCGCCGCACATTGTGGTATTTGACCAAAAAACCTGGCCAAAACCTCAATTTTGAATTTTTTTAAATTGGAAAACCAATGTGAACCAGCGCCGGTTTTTTTATCATTTCAAACTCTCCAACTTCTGTGAAAGTAATTCATTTTACATGCTGCCCTGTCTGAAGTTTGTGAAAAGGCGAAAGTTGAGCAGAATAGTTTCTGAGTCCTATCACTAGTTGAGTACAGCACTCGGGTGATTGACATGGAAGAGGCGAGGAGGGGAGGGGGGGGTAATTTTAATACAGGTTGCTAATGCAAAGTCTACACGGAATGCACTCCAGTCATATTTTGCCAAATTGTGCTACAATGCAGCTAATTTTCCCATTCAAATAAATGTAAAATATCCCTATTTTACCGCCTTTCATGGCAACCTCGACTCCAATCATCATCGTTCTCCTACATTCAAAAACATATTGAATATCAATTTCTTAAAAAGCAGTCTCTTGAAGATTAAAGTGAAACGTTTTTAAAACAAACTTGTTTTTTGCCGTGCTATTCTGACATGCCAAGGAATAACGCCGCGCCGTATAAACCTTCGAGGTATTGCTAAATTTTCTTTGATAAATAACGAGATCAGTGGTAGGGTTGTAAATATTTTTCTTCCAATTTTTCAGACATTTTTGTTCGCAACTTAATCTGAGATATCTGAAAAATTCAAGGGAAAATATGCCTAAGTTCCCTCCCGAATACATTTTTCACCAGGGGAAATGCGACAACATTGGATGTTCATACGGCGTCTTTCCGTAGCTTATGGCAGCGCTCGTTGCTCTAACGCTCACAGACTCGGTTTTCGGTGTAGGTACTTTTTTTTTTAGTTGCGCGGGGATAAAATCCAGTTAAGACAACTAACTGTTTCCTACCCACCAGTTGTGTATTTGAAGTACACATTGGCAAATCCAGCAATTCGGCAACATCGTCTTTTCTACACTTAAACCGATGAAAATATATCGATTCTTGGGGAACCAGGTGCTCTAAATCGATTATTTAACATAGGTTTAAATTGAGGAAATCCGGTGTTGCCAAATTGCTGGATCCGCCTCTGGATGTACGTGATAATGTTGCTGTACTTTAAATTTGCAAGAGACAACGACATCCCGTTGCCAGAGTTGCTGAAAGAAATTTCATCGAATGAAATATCGTGAAATTTCACAAGAAATTTCATCAAATGAAATATCGTGAAATTTCACAAGAAATTTCATGAAATTTCTTTTTTCCCCATGAAATTTCTTGAAATTTCCTCAAGAAATTTCTTCTTATAATCTTTCACGAAATGTCTTAACTCTGCCCGTTGCTCACGAAATGTAGTGGTTTTCGCATGAAAGTAAGACAACGGTGGTGTGGCGGAGTTTCCCGGTGAAATAAGAGAGGGGACCGGGCGGATTAGTGGCGAGGCGTGAATGATCGATTATCGATATTTCCCCATTTGAAGATATGTTAAAGAATCGAGTATTAAGGCTTTCGTTGCGAACACCCTGTTTATCGACCTTTTTCCATAGGTTTACATGGCAGTTAAATCGATGTATCGCAAAGCACGCCACGTCACTGGGGCGGATGAATTCAATTAATGAGTGTCGGAACTTCATTGAATCATAGCTTCAAGTTTCGTGCAAACAATCTTGTATCTCGGGCGCAACAAAGCTCCACTGACCCCGCCCCCTCTTTTACACCCGCACGAACGAGCCACGAGAGCCGCTTTAATTTAACTTTCATGACGTCACATTCCGTCTTCCATGTCCGAGGAAAATCATATTCAGAGTCGCAGCAATAACGAAAAAGAGAAAGAAGAGGGAAAAAGAGAGGGCGGGGAAAAAGATAAAGAAGAGGAAGAAGAAAAAAAGGAGGAAAAGAAGAAGAATAGAAAAAAAGGGAAAAAAGCAAAGAAAAAGCAAATGAGTAGTGGTTGCAGACTTTGGTAATTTTATAGAGATTCCTTGGCAACTTCGGCAACTTGGCAACCTCTGCAATTAAAGTACGCACGTCGTAAAAAGAAAAGAAAAAGAAAAAAGGAAAGGAAAAGAAATAAGTAAAAAGAAAGACAAAAAAGGGGAGAAAAATAAAAAAGAAGTAAAAAAGAAAGATGAAGAAAAATGAAAAAACGGGGAAATAGGAGAAAATGGGGAAAGAAAAAAGGAGAAGAAAAGAATAGAAAGACAAGAAGAAAAATCCAACATGAATATGTTGGAAAAGCGTGCCAAATAACTGAAATTTTGGACACGTACCTACCTACTATTTTCACGTCTTTGTTATTTGTATCAATTGGTACTTTTTGCTAAATTTTGGAGAAAATATCGATTCATGAACGTTGAATGTAAATTAATTTTAATGATTCCGTCCAATTATCTTGATTTTAAGCTGATATGCGGCATTTACGCACGACCGCGATTTGGGCGAACTGCCATGCCGTGCATCGAGAAATACGAAATATATTAGGTGCAATAAAATTTACCTAATCGGTTTACTTTATATACATTAACAAACTTTTTCATTGCTATTCTAGGCGTTTCAAATAAATATGAATATGCACGTTTTTTTACAACGCACTCTAATCGAGCCGGTTCCCTTCTTTCACATGCGAACCTGATATTGTCATCGTATCAAAATGTCTCGCATGTTGTCTATTCACTGATTGAAGGGGTTCCTCATTTTGCAATGTATTGTAGTTTCTGTTTTTTTTTTTTTTTTTTTTTTTTTTTTCTTGCATTTTGGCATTTCATGTCAAATCAATTACAGTTTTATTGTCACAAGTTTTGACATTATTCCAATATTTTCGTTGCACCGTAGCACTTGGGTAACGAACAGTGGCGAGGTGTGAATGATCGATTTTCGTTATTTTCCCATTTGAAGCTATGGTAAAAATCGATTGTTCAGGTGATCGTTGAGAAAACCCTGTTCATCGATCCTTTTCCATACGTTTAAATTTCAGATCAATCGATGTATCGCAAAGCACGCCACGCCACTGGTAACGAATGGAAAAATGGGAACATTAGGCAGGACTTTCAATTGTTGCAAGGCAATCAGGCTAGGGAAGATTCTTGCAATCGCTACTTCATTTCAATTTAAACGTACTGAAATGTCTGTAAATATCCTTGCATGAATAAGTGCCTTTTGATCAGACAACTGTTCGCGCGTCCCGGTGCGTTTGTTGCCTATGCGAAAATATTGAAGGCGAACTTCGAGGGGACAATACCTGTGCCATTAGGCTCACATCACAACATAATTAATCTATTTAATCGATTTGTAGAATTAATATTTCGATTGCATATTAGGAACTATAATTTCTGACGCACCACTAGTTCCTCTATGAACATAAGTGTTTTCACAGATAAGCAAAGAGAAACAGCGTTACTAAATTGTGAGAATAGCCACTGGTATCGGAGATGATTGACGTTCTCGCCAATCGAAACCCCTTTTTCATTGTCTAAGTACCTCTGTGCTTCCCCGCTGTAGAGGAACAGCAACCTCTTAAGTCCTATGTAAATCCTGCGTGGATACGCCTTTTATGCTAAGCATGTCTACGGAGGCCTCTGCCTTGCACGGGATCGGGAAATCATGCGCGAGGTGCACATATCTTCCTTCCGTGAGTAACTGCATTCAGAGCGTTAAAGCCACGGCTTCACAGACAGCGTGCGACGCGACGTAGAGTTGACTGCGCGACGTGGAGCGCAGTCATTGACCGCAGATTTTTGATCATTTTGACCGTCCATTGTCGAATGACCTTGATCGATTATATAAATTATTTTGAGGCCCAAAGTGTGTAACTCTGCCGTGATAGCGAAGAGAGCAGCAAGTGTCAAATTTTTTAAATCGAGTTTCCTTCAAAATTCGTCTAAACTTTTTCAAATGAAATCACTGAAATAATTAAATAGCGAAATTCATCTTAATTGTACCAAAACGAGACATGAGAAAGCCGTAAGTGCGCAAAAAATGGAGTGGTTTTAGGGAGACAACGGAAGTGACAATATTCCTCCAGAAAGCCAATGAAAACAGTGCTTTCAAGTAAGTGCCGCGCTGCCCTCCTCTGCGAATTTCTAACCTGAAATTATGCGTTTGCTGTGTCCAAAACGCAACCACGAAAGCATGCGGCAGAACTACGTATCTCCATTGGGTGTTTCAAAATTTCCGCTCCTTTTTCATTTTTTCGAAGAGAAATACGCAAATCTTATGGCTCGAAATTTCTACTGAGTATTCTGCTAACAGGGAGGAAGATCCAAGGAAGTTTTCAGGAAGCTATGATGAAAAATTTTCCCGAGAGGAAGTATAGCATGTTAGGAAGCCTGCAGCATTTTAAACGGAGAGGTGTATGATTTCGCACTTGGTCATCGATCGAGATCATTCCTTAACGATCGATTATTCGTAATCGATATGCCGATGTCACTGAGGAGTACCTTTATGAAGGGAGTGTGGACACTGAGCCCTTGCATTCCGAAAAAATGGCCAAGACTCTGCATGCGGCCTGGTTATTGAAATCGATGGACAGGACGATAGACAGAGAGAACGGGAAGGTAGAGCGATCCTATTAGTTAAAACGGTTGGTTGTCGTAGACCAAGGGGGAAAACTATGAACTAACTGGATCGCGTTAAGTAGAAAGGAACCAAGCAACATCCGCTATTGCCAAATTTACTTGGGCAATTTAATTTTTCACTCGCAACGAACACCTTAATAATCAATTCTTCACCGTGGCTTCAAATGGGGGAACATCGATAATAATCGATCATTCACGCCTCGCAACTGCATTGTACATTGCAAACAACCACAAATAGGATCGCTTTATTTTCAATGTGTGATCTTTTGTCGATCAATTTCAATAATAATTAGAGTACCTTTATAGGGTGAGTATGGACAACTCGATTTATTAGGGCCCAAAAGGGCGACAACGTGAAAAACGAAAAGCACTAGAAAAGTGCCGCTGCCAACTTATACATTTGAAAGAATAATCAATAGGATCGACAGCGCATTCTAAACAAGCGTTTTAAAGGATCAAGACATTGAAAATGAGAAAATTAATGCGAAATTAAAGTTAGGACCCATTTCCCTGTAAAGGTATTCTACAATAATAATTAGCCCGGAGGTTACGCACTGCGCGGTTGAATTGGCGTGGCGCACTGCCTGCTTGTGGAAGCGAGTCTCGAGCCCGAGTTTCGGAACCCGGCGGGAGTATCGCTTCACGTGATTACTGAAGTACACGTTCGCTGTGTGAGTGGTCGGTGCGATCGGGCGTTTTTCCAAAACGATCACTACCAATTTTCTTTCAAGTTTTGAAATTTTCTGACAGGAACTGTGAAGACCCCAACTCTTTTACAAATTTTTCTTTTCAGACGAATGTTTCATAAGTAAATATTTTTGTATAAAACGAGTTGTAGTGATGGTGTACCAAATTTCATGGTCCCGAAGCAACCATTGGCTATGAAGCATCAGTGTTTAAATTTTTACCATACTTAAATTTTAAGATGCCATAGAAAGAGCGATTGAGGGCCTTGCAAGACAAGGCGCATAAGTGCAATTTTTCCTTTTTCGAGAAATAAATATCCTCGTGGTGGAAAGAAACTTCAAACTGACTTTTTGATACTTAAAAATTGGAATTTGCGAGCGAAATTTTCACGGAATATTCATCAAGACTAGTTTTATTTGAAATCATTAATATCTCAAATTTTTCAAAAACTGCATTTATGCACTTTGTCCTCCAAGCTCTTAAATTGTCATTTCTATGAAATATAATTTTTTAATTTGTTTGTTAGAGATGCAAAAATTGTTTCTTGCACGTAACACTAATCGCGTTCGTATCTTAGAGATGATACAAAGTGGGTTTCCTTAAGCAGAACTTTATCAACTCATTTGACACTTGATTCGTTGGTACTGGTGGCATGATGTAACATCGGTGTTAGAGAAAATTCTAAACAAAATGTCACAGGGTGGCAGTGAAAATTGAGCGGGTTTTTTTCTTAAAGAAAAAGTTTCGGCGACGGACGCGAAATGGGAACTCTGAGTGGAATGCTCAACGAGCTTCAAATCACGCTCCCGAGTGATAAAACATGGAGGACCGTCAATTATTTCAAACTTGTTGAGCAGCAGCGGCTTCTTAATCAATTAAAGAAGTAAGTTCCCCTTCAGAGTTATTCTTTTTACTCCTTTATCGGACCTAACCACCCTAAAAGCATGCACGGAAAACATTAAATTGCTGATTTAAAAATAGTGTACCTACTTAAAAAAAATGACTGTAATGTTTCAATGTAGATTTTACAAAAAAAAAAAAAAAAAAAAAATGCTACTTTAAGCACCCCCGTGGTTAAATTAGCTGTCCACTATTGTAAAATGTACATTTGAAACTTTGCAGTCACTTTTTCAAACAATTGAATTATTAAATCAGCAAACCATTTTTTCCGTGTGGGTGAAACCAGGAACTTTTTAAGGTACCTCATCAGGAACGGTCTGGAGGGACACAAAAAACACTCAACCTCTGGGGGTCTTGTATCGTGCGCCCGTGGGCTGTCGTAGCTCCAAAGAAGGGCTCGAGGAATTCTTTCAGCTCTCCCCTGGTAAAAATTGGTGATAGGAGCTGCGTTTCAAAATACCATAGGAGTTCTTATAGCCGACGAAAGAAGGCTATTGAAAATCATATAGCTGGCTGTAGAAAGCGGAGCAAATCATACAGCACGGCTATACAAAGCTATAAAAAAGTATACAGTCGGGCTATAGTTCCTATCGCCGGGATTTACACTTTATCGCCATCGGCTATAAAAGGCTATAAGAAATTGTGTAGAAATTCGTGAACTTTGGATATCATTAAGTTTGAAACGGAACTACCTTAATATTTACACAACACACATTATATTTTCCTTTAAAACATATTTTTTTTTTTCATCAATTAAAATGAGAATAGCCCATACAGAGTGTGCAAACATTTCAAAATCATGAGTTGAAAAACAGTGGCTCCGCGAGATTAAATATTAGAGCCTAACACAAAGCAGAGCGGCGACGCTTTGGCGCCTACAAACCTAACAGGAACACTTCACGCATTGCGCAACGCGTGAAGTATCCCTGTTAGGTTTGAAGGCGCCAGTGCGCCGCGCCGCCCGCCGCTCCGCTTTGTGTTAGGCTCTAATACATATTTAAACTCGTGGAGTCAGCGTTTTTCAACTCATGACTTTGAAATGTTTGCACACTCTGTATGGATTATTCTCATTTTAATCGATGAAAAAAATATGTAGTAAAGGAAAATATAATGTTCGTTTTGTAAATATGAAGGTGATTCCGTACAAACTTAAGGATTTACAAAGCACATGAATTTCTACACACTTTCTTATAACCTTTTATAGTCGATGGCGAAAAAGCAACAGCCAGGCGATAAAGTGTAAAGCCTGGCGATAGGCACTATAGCCCGGCTGTATAGTTTTTTATCGCTTCGTGTAGCCCCGGCCGTATAATTTTTTCCACTTTCTACAGCCAACTATATGATTTTCTATCGCCTTCTTCAGTCGGCTATAAGAACTCTTTGGTATTTTGAAACGCAGCTCCTATCGCCAATTTTTACCAGGGTAAAAATATGAATACGAATTCGCGGTCTCTTTTATCATGAGTTAAGTATTTCAGAGACATTATTCGCATACCTATGGTGGCCCGAAAAGGAAATCATGCCATTATACTGCTGTGCTAAGGAAAAATGAAGGGCATGGAGGGGGGGGGGACAAGGCGTATAAGCGCAGTTTTGATATTTCGAGAAATCTGTGTTTAAAGTTCCAAAATTACCTAAAGCCTCAAGGCGGAGGGAAAGATTAAACTCACATTTTGATGTTCAAAAATTTGAATTTAGCGATGCATTTTTGACAGAGCAGAGTTCAAGACTAGTTTTACTCGCAATCACGAATACCTCATTTTTTTCAAAAACTGCATTTATGTGCCTTATCCTCGGATTCCGTTTGAACATTTGAGGGTTGGCAGATTTTTTGATAAAATATTTATTTTTGAAGGAACTTATGCGTATCTTTTCTTGAAAATGTTAAACCCTTTGGATCAAATTGCGAATAAAATCCTATAAAAGATTGGAGGAAAAATATTCATAAGTTTCTTTAAAAAATCTTTTTTTTTTTTTCAAACGAAATTTGGCAATACCTGAAGGCTCATACGGCGTTCTTCCTTAACACGGCAGCGTGGCCGTGGCGCCCCTGTCCCTTGGATCTGTTATTAAATGCAGATGCCTTTTCTGGAACTTGACGCAGGGATGGAAAATTTGCATGGTATCCTGCAGAACGTGCAATATGTAAATTCGTACCNGGGGGGGGGGGGGGGGGGGGGGGATCTGGTTCGAACATTTAAGCCCGGGTGCCTCCGGTATCAGACAGGTTGGCGACAGTGGCGTGGCTTGAATTGCGATGTATCGATTGTGGTTCCATTTGAACCTATGAAAAAAGATCGATTATCAGGGTATTCGTAGCGAACACCTTAGTAATCGATTCTTTACCATAGCTTCAAATGGCGAGATATCGATAATCGATTATTCACGCCACGCCACTGGTTGGCGATGTTGGGCTCTGCGTGCACTATATCAGATAATCGTAATTGCAGCTGTAGAACAGTGCCTAAATGAAAAACTGGGCTGTTGGACTCATTCAAAGTGGATATGTCCGCTATGCTGCCATATTTCTTTCGATCAAGGACGTAAGGTGCAGCGGCAGCCATTTTTCGGGTGAAATCTCTTATCGCCTCTCTTCTCTGTTCAACATACGATAGGAAAAATTTACAAGAAAGTTTTCAGAGTAACGGGAATAATGGTGTCACCAGTTTAATTTTTAGTCTCATCAAGTGCGTGGAGCCTGCAGATTTCTTTCGAGTTTAATTTTTTCTCCACGAAGAAACACACAAGGTTACGTTTTGTAACTTTTTGTAATTTTTTTCCTGAGGTGTCAAAAATTCGCTCACAAAATTTCAAGTCAGGATGTCGATTCGTTTTATGTAATAATTGATTGCGATTGAACTCGATCGTAGTTGAAAATCGCGTTTACATTCGTGACTCTGCATAGATTCATGCAGGAGTATCAAGAAATTATCATCACCGAGATTTGTTAGCGCAAAAATGTGCTGTTATTTACGCGTTATTAATAAAAAAATGGTTACATAACCGACACGAAATTTTCAATTGTCCTGAGAGTTTTCAGTGCTAATAACTCTACATATTCATTTTACATAAATCGAAGCAGAATAACCTCTGTAAATAGTTTTAACTGATAATTTACTGTTTTCTTTTTTAGTTGACTCGTTCTATAAATTTATGAGGTGAAAAGTAAAACTTGCAGTAGGCAACCTTATTATTTCCGTCCGTGTAAAATCACCCATCATGACATATTTGACAACTTTACTAGAAAAATGTATCCTTACGCGTCACTTATTGAGATCTAGGGTGTTAAAGGCATGACAGACTCTTAAATTTTGGTCCGTTTTCTTTCCTTTTTTTTAAAAAAAAAAGGAAAAAGAAGATAAAATAATATTTTAAAAAGAAAAAAAGTGAGTTGATACAGATTATTAGTTACTTTTTACACTAATTCACCACGCTGCTGAATCTTTTTGTGTCATAGGCGCATCTTCAGAGCCTCATGAGGAATCATCATGAACTAAAGATAAAAACCTCCAAACTATATAGTTTATCATTTAAAATTTATAATTTAATATCTTAGTCTATCAGTTTCGTTAGAAAATAACTCATTTTTACTATTAACAATAACATACCTCTACTTCGGTTTTGACTAAAATTGTACGAACACACATGAAGTTCTTATACATTAAGCCGAAATTAACTGTGAATTTTTTACTTCTGTACAACTTTAAGATAAAAACTATCTAGTTTATTTTATAATGGCAATTTATATGTTTTGTTAAACTCTAATCCTAGATTTTTATATTATCCAATCTAATAATCCTGTTCATCACTCATAAAAAAATCCTAAAATAATTAATAACATTAATGTATAAATTATTAAAAACATATTTATCGTGTTAAAGAATTAACTATACACTGATTGTATACACCCGTATTGACTGGAAAAATAGGTTTTCTCCACTTCCATTTTGACCCTATCAAAAAATAATCAATCGTGATACGAGATAATATGTTTCGATCGTCTGGATTGAATTGATTAGACATGGCTAATATTTCATTTAAATTTAAATTGGCAACAGTGAGTCCGGAAACAGGATGATTTACTTGAACTTTAGGCGTGAGCTGAGTTGTTGGGTCACGAGATTCACAAGTGACTTAGGTATATTTTAGCGAAGCTCCCTTCAACCCGCAGCCAATTTCTTCACTCTGCGAAAGCACGTTTCGCCTTCAACCATGCTCGATCGAACGAACACTATTTGCTCCATTTATTTCAATCAGATACACACACACGTGTAAACACTCTTTCCTTAAAGTAGGTTATAAAACATGAGAGTCAGGCAGAAGACCTTTAAATAAGGTGGGAAAACATATAATGAAATATCTATACCATAGATTTCGTATGTTCAAACTAGAGCCATTCGTCAGTTGCTCCCAGGATACACCCCCTCCCCCATCCTCTTTTTACACTTGAATTAATTTTGCAATATGAAATCACCATTTTTATATCATCCGTAAAATCACCTGTCTGAAAAGGGGAACTGTTGCCCTTTTAATTTGTTTCTAAAGTGGACTAGAAATAATAAAGGTCAGTGCAAAATGTGGTGCAATGCAAAATATAAGTCATGTTTCTTGACTCGGAGGCTTTTAAATTAACCTGTTTATGGACATTTTCGTAGTAAAAATGGCAAATTATACTGTCTGTCATACCAAAAAGAAACCAAGGGGGAAAATATGAGAGCTAATAGTTGGAATTTACTATTTTCGAAACAAAATCAAACACTTCAAGAGCTCATGTAGAAACGTAGATAAATTTCTCAGTGTGAGGTTGAAACGATTAAAGAAGCAAAGGCACATCTTGCCGGCTACTTGCAAAAGCGTACCGCTCGCTTTGCTCCGAGCCTGAGAACAGGCGATTCGGAAGCGCCTTCAATTTTGTGATAGGCAACATACACTATCGCAGAGCTGGTATAGTTGCATTCGGGTTTATCATTAGCCGGTACATGGGCACATGGCACAAGGTATGATGACGGTTTTCGCAAGTTGCTAACGTATATCACTCCATTTTGCTTGGGCGTAGGTTCACTGATCTGGGATCGAGAAAGCTTCTTTTTGTTGATGAAGAAATCGACCGATCAGAAAACAAGGATTAACTGCAGAGGTCCATTTTCAAAACGAATTCATGATGATTCAATTTAGAAATCTACACTAATCACAGATGAATCTTCTAAAAGTTCCTACTGGCAATGGGAGTCTTACATCGTTTTTAATAGTCATCGATTTTCTTGGAAATGGTGTCGTTTATGGAAAAAAGGCACTCTATATGAAGTATTTGAAATTATATTTTAAGTTAACGTAAGAAAAAAAACAGACGTTAAGGTCCGTTTGTCATACATCGAATTTCGGACTTCGCTGAATATCGACGCCATATTTCACCAACCTACGTCACGGGGTGAATGCAATCCTCAAGATACGACCACCTTCTTTTTTTCTCCGTGCATTCCACTCACCTGTTTCCACCAGTAGGCTTCCCCTATTTCCTCCTTTGTCTTCTTTGTTTATCGCTTTGTCTATCAATTTCAATAATCAGCCTACTGCTGTTATTTCTCTCTCTCTCCCCCTTTCCACCCCTCCATCCCAAATATCCTCCTTTCCACCTGTCCCTGTTCCCTTTTTACCTCTCTCTTTTCTCTCGCCTCTTTCTTTCATTTTCCTTTTCGCTGGTTTTATATATTTCTTTGTTTTGAGCCCGGGCTGCTCTACCTCTATGTTTGGTGGCGAGGCGTAAATGATCGATTATCGATATTTCTCCATTTGAAGCTGCGGTAAAGAATCGATTGTTAAGGTGTTCGTTGCGAACTCCCTGTTTATCGATAAGTTTCCATATACGTTTAGATGGCGGATCAATCGATGTATCGAAGAACACGCCACGCCACTGGTTCAGTTGGGCGTTTTTGCTGGCTACATGGGTATCAGGTATCTGAGAAGCGGGAAATTAAATAGACGTTTGATGCTTCACTTGACGTTTGGTTTCGTGTCTCGTTGCTCCACATTCAATAAGGGCCAAGCACGATGCAACGTTGCCATCCTGTCATTGTTTCTCAATTTTATCAGTAGTATGCGTTTACGTGAAGGTAACATTTTTCTCAAGAAGAACAGAATTGTGAGGATGACCTCGATCGAGAAGAGACCATTCCAATTTTGAGAACATGACCGCTGTATCCAAATTTTGGGAACATGACCGCTACATCCAAATTTTGAAAACATGACGCAGGTTTTTTTATACTACGTGGTAAAGTTACGAATTCTCCCGTTTAAACAATGTAATTTTTTATTTTTTGTCACAGTTCGTTTGAGCGTTCTACTGGGCATATTTCTATGATATTTGCGGTAATCGACAAGCGATTGTCCCTAGATGAGCCCGCTGTAATCAGATTTTGGAAATAGTACCCAGGTTTTTTTTAAAAAAATATAAGAGTGGATCAGGGAGCGTAGAAAGGGGGAAAATTTTGGAATTCCCGCCATTTTTCAGTAGCGGGATTTTCAAATTTAGCGGAAAATTAAACAAAGCCGACAGTGCACAGGGAAGAATGGGGGGGGGGGGAGTCCTGCGCCGTCTGCAGCGCGCATGGTGCACAACCCGCATTTCATTATTGCACTTCATCTAACGTTGAGTGTTCATAATTACTTCACACGACCAATGCGTAATTTGAAAATTCGAAAATTTACGAAAAAAAGGGAGCTCTCCCCGCGAGAAATCATTCACCAACCGCCCGCCGGGAGAGCCGCAGAGCGGCGTGGTGCTAGCGCGAAACACGCACTAACTCCTACGGCTACTTCACGCATTGCGCAAAGCTTGAGGTATCCCGTTAGGTTTGCAGGCGTCAGTTCACGTTCCAAGCTGCAGGCAGCATACCGCGCCGCGCCGCAGCGTGCCATAAAATTGCACACAACTTGTAGGTCAGGGTGTTAAAATCTTGGCAAATTAACATCATATTCGAAATTAGCGACTCAAAAAACAACAGCAACGAAACTTTTGTGATCTTTCAGTCATTGTCCGACTAATTTCTTCCAATTCTTGAGTTTTGGACCATCGTGCGCCGCGGCGGCTCATGAAATTTTCCCCTGTGCTCATCGGGACAAAGCGGGAAATGTTGAATCTTTGTCTGTGGGGAGGGCAAAGAAAGTGAATCGAAGGTACGCTCCTTTGCAACAGACTATTTTTCAGTGTATATATCCAAAAGCGACGAAAGGCTCCGTTCCGTTCGCTTCGTCTTGTTTAAGACTTGGCATGAAGTTTGAAATAAATTACGATTTTTTTCATACGATTCCTATTGGTCCAATCGCTCCCAGCCATAGGGAGATTGTACAAATGAGAGTGGGGTATGAAAATCTTTTCATTTTGTTTTGGTCGTTCTTTTGTCCAAGCGAGCCTAAGAGAGCGCGAAGCGACCTCTAGAGGTTGGGCCGCGTAGCGGCCAGGGGGCATAGCCGCCTTGTATAATTCCATGCTTTCCTTGACTCATGTGGAAATAGAAATACGCCATCAATTTAGAGGGGCGACGAAATGAGACCCATCCCCTGATAAAAATTGGCTATAGGAGCTGCGTTCCAAAATACCATAGAAATTATTATAGCCGGCTAAAGAAGGCGATAGAAAGCGATAAAATCATACAGCCGGGCTATACGAAACGATACAAAATATTTAGCCGATCCATAATATCTATCGCCGGGCTGTAAAGTTTATCGCCTGGCTATAGCTCTTATATAGCTATTGGTTATATCCTCATCACTACCGGCTATAAAAAGCTTGAAGAAATTGTATAGCCGGCTATAGAATGCTATGAGAAATATAATAACCGGCTTTAAATCAATGGTCTTTCGGAACACAGATCCCATGGCCATTTTTTATCAGGGATACTCATTTGTATACTCTCTCTGCCTCCCCCTCCCCTCCCCTCCCCTCCCCC